ATATATGAATTTTTGGAAAAGAAATCCTTGGGATTTTCTTGGAGAAGCTTGCGAGCTTTGTCCACCTTCTTCTTCCACCTCCTCTGGAAATCTTGCGAGCTCTTTCCACCCTTCGTCTCGGCTTCTAAGCTCTTTCGTCTCTCCGCAAGTTTACACACCACCTGTATCCTTCGTATCTTAAGTAAAGCAAGTTTAGGGTGTCTTGGTCAAGTAGAATTTGTAAGTTTCTTTTTAATTTGAAATGTAAGAGTTTGTTCTTCCTATTATCTAGTAAGTGTGTCCCTATAATTAGTTAAGTGTGTGTTCGTTTTATGTCATAAAAGACCCTTTCCTTTTGTTGTATCTCTTTTGTGGGCAGAGGTCCTCGGGTCCCCCCATCCCCCGGATTTTTGCCCGCATCAGAGGGAGGGCATTTGGCCTATGCGTGAGAGGGAAAGATCGGAAAGGCTCTTGTGTGTGTTTCTTCTTCCTTGCAAGCGGGAAATATGTATAGTGTGGCTGCAAAATCACTTTACATTTGCCTTACCTGACCGAGCAGCTTATAGTCGTTGGTCTTGCGTGTGCGTCTCAAAGAGACGAGCACTCATCCCTTCCATCTTCTTGTGTATGGCATCCAACAAGTGTCAATCGAACCGAAAGCCCCTCGTGCGTGCTGGGTAGATCGAACGAGAAAGTTAAGTGTGTGTGCCTGGAGTCGGATATAACAAGGGAAGTTTTTTTGGCTTCTCATTGGCACATGCCTGGGCATAGCTAAGAACTTTGAACAGCTGGGATCTTCCTACTTGCAATCTAGGATGAATAAGAGTAGCAGCTTAAAAACTTTATGTTGTTTTGTAACACCCCACAGTACCCCTTAACAGTACTGGAAGTATTAAAAACATAAGACAACCCTTTCATCATTTAATCATACGATACTTTTGAACATTAGATGATCTTTAAAATTATCAAACAGTTCTCATTCATCTTATCAAACGGAAGCAACTAATAATTTAAAATTTCAACAAAAAACATAATTATAGAGCCACTTTAATTTAAATTGATACTCAATACATACACATTATATTATCAGATTTCATACTTTTCACATGCTTGCATACGGATAATTCTGTTGCCATTTGTATATAAAGTATATATGCATACAATATATAATTGAATTAACATCTTTCTAAAACATCATCAATTAGGAAAACCTTTAGATGAATATGTTAATCATTATTTTAAACTCACGTGCTGAATTTTTGTGAGCGGTTCTTCATACTTGAAAACTTGGATATAAAAACCATTCTATACATTAAGCAAAAGTTAATACCATTTACTCTAATGTATTACAAATTAACTTCCATACTTATAAATGAAATTCATCATCTTTGAAATATAATTGCATTACTTACTTCCTTGCCGAGTCGTCTCCTCCAATTCTCTACTTCGTATCCTTCGACGCCTTATAAGTTGCCTCATAACCTCTCCTATGCATATAAACAAATGAATCTTCTTCCTTCTTCTAAAATCTCAAATCTGTACTTATTATTAGATCTTCTGATTGCATCCAACACTTCTTCCTTTTAATTTCTGTTTCACAGAAATTTCTTCACTGTAACATGTCCGAACAACTATTCACAACAGTGCGACTCTTCTTCCAGCAAATTTCCGATGCTGTATACAGTGTTTAAAACATTGTGCCTAAAGCCCCTGTCTACCGTAACCCAAAAACCTCTTCAAGCAATGTACCGAATAAAGCTACAGTGAATGCAAGAACTTCACCGATTTCCAACAACAATTGGCTAGCGGCTAAACAGAGAAAGAACTCTGTTGGCTTTTATGAATATCAAAACAGAGAAAAAAATTATTGGATTGCTGCTATCCAGTGAATTTCTGCTCTTCTGCTTTATGTTATTACTTCTCCAAAGCACTGTAGCCGAATTATTTTCTTTGCAATGTCCGAAACTTCTTCCATTAACTGTTCAGTGTAATCTTATCTATTCAGTGTAATCTTATCTATTCAGTCAGTTTGTATACAATAAATAATTGGAAGTGGGGCCCAATGCAACTACCATCCCACTTCATTTTCCAATTAATGTGAAGAGCCAACCGATGCATGCTTTTGGTTGGTTGAGTGTAAACGGAATTTATATTTAATTCATATATTAGGATTATTTTCTAATTAACATTAGTTTAAAATTTTATATTAATTTAAGAGCAATTTACTATTGAATTTAAAATAAACACATACCTGATTGGTTCTACATGTTCTCTCTCTGTCAAGTAGAAGGGAGTGAAGTAAAAGGATGGTGAAGGCATATGGAAGTTGTTTGCTTGCTATAGAAGATTCTTTTTCCTCAAAAGCCAACTAGCTCGACGACGAGCTCGTGAAGTGGAGACAGCAACCCAAACAACTTGGACAGTGGATCATCCTCCATTTCAATCGCATTGTGCTACAACCAAAATTGTTGGTCATTGTCTTTGACAAGGTAAAATCTCCTAAACAAAGAAACCTAGGTCTCTAAGCCCTTAATTTGGATGTGGTTGACGCTCCCAAACCCTTAGGTCCTTAGAAACCCCGTTTTACATTTTTCTAAACCCAAAAAATACTCTCCGCTGTCCTCTCCGCAAACCGATGATTTCCACTTGTTTGGTCTCACATGAGATCCTGAGGAAGATGTTGATAAACGTAGGGCCGTTGGACTTATGCCAACGATAATCCAATGCATGAATATCACATTCTCCAAACCATAGAACAAACTGCTGAATTATTCTAAGAACTCTGAAAAAATGCATCCATGAGAATTTTCCTCTTTACGAACTTCAATGGCATTCTCCAATTGGCAACAATTATGCATTATGAATAGCGAAAGCCATAACCCATGCATCAGTCTTTGCAAGGAAAAAAAAGCACTCATAGTACTACAAAATAAAAAATATTCTAACAAAATTATGTTAACAGAGAAGGCATCCATGATAGCCTCACTAATAGTGGATAAACATTGATGGATAGGAAAATGCATGAAATAATATGTCAATGCATGGTACCATATCAACTCATAAAAATACTAGCAGAAAAACTCAAATCAACTGCAAGGCTTAAGAATATGTTTACATGTACCAGGATATCATAATCAACTTTCAGTCCAGTTGCCAGCCATGCCGGCTCCAATAGAATATGAAGGATCGCAGAAAGCTCAGTATTTCTATGCATTTGCAGAATTTCATCGACTACATTCTTAATTCTGCAGAATTCAATATGATTAGCCTCCTTCGACTCCAGCAATTTAACAAGCTGCAAAGTTTAACAAGTAATTCTTTCATAATCAAGATAGCCTATAAATAGACAAATAAAATAAGGTTCCTATATCACAGATTGTTGCCATCAACACTGGTTTTGTAGAAAGGAATTCACTTAAGAAAAAATACCTTTTGGTAAAAAATAAAGAAGCAAAACAAATCAAAGAGTAATCAAAATACAAGAAGAAATTTAAAATAATTTTTTTCTGATCTAAAACTTCAGTTACCATCATCAAAAGCAACCAAAAAAAGCTTTGGCCTAATTATTAAACCAGCTTTATTAATCCATCGCACAGAGCTGAATTTGGTCTCAATCCTTGTTTAGCTAAATCTTTTCTACCAACATCTATGATGCACCGACACTTCTTCTCAAAGAGGCGTGCAGTGTCCGACACGACACTCCTCCGACACGTGTCAGACACACCGAAAACGTGTCCAATTAAAAAAATATTAAAAACAAATTGGACACGCGTGTCCGATGCGGACACGCGTATCTTAAATATTTTATAATTATTTTAAAATATAATTTCTTATATTTGGAAAGATTTAAACTAAATTTCTTATTTCATATCCACAACACCATATTTGGCGAGATTTAAACTAATATTCTCATTTTCATTTCTCTTTTGCAATGAAGGTATTTTCATCTCCTCTCTTTTTGCACAATTACAAATCTTTCTCTTGTTGAACCAGAGTTGAAAGTTGTGATATTCAATGATGATGATATTGAAGGCCAAAAACAAACCTCTAAAGCTAATCCTAGTAGTTGAAACTTGAATGCTTGATGTTGTAGTAAGTGATTATTTACTTATATTTTTGTGGTTGTACTAGATATTTTGTACTAAATATTTTATATTATAAGCTAGACAAGTTATCATGTCATTCATTTATTATTGTTTGTCATGTTTAATATGATATTACATTAATATATATACACTATATAAAAAAATGTATTGATGTGTCCGCGCCGTACCCGTGTCCTATATTTTCAAAAAAAGCCGTGTCCCGTGCCCGTGTCGTGTCATGTCTGTGTCGCTGTGTCCGTGTCCGTGCATCATAGACCAACATCTATCACCATAGCTTTACCTAGGGCACATTAATTTCTCAAATGAACATAGGCGAAGACACATGATGATCTAATATTAAAATCAATGTAAACCACCTAGAAAATCACTAAAAAGGTCTAGGAAATATAACTTCAAATTGGCTTGGAATTCATCAAATTGAACTAGTGCAGTCTTGATTGATCCAACACAATGCCAGGTTATTACTTATTAGAAACCTTCAGCCCTTGGGTGACCTTCATGATTCCAAGATAACAGAAACAGATGTCAGGCAAACCATCCAAATACTGCTCAAACCCCTGAGCTACAAAAGGTGTCAGCAGTTTTGACTATGACCTATAGGTCATGATCAAATCGCCAAGTCTATGTTAGGCCAAAGCAATCATCAGAAATCATTAATCTAAACCCCGCTTCCTCTTGGAGCGATCTGAGTGGTGAGAGACTAAGACAAATTGACTTACAGAGAAGATGATAAAGGTTATTTGCACCTAAAAAATATAGAGACATTATATCATTACCATAAAATAGTTCAACTATAACAAAGCAAGCACTAAGTATCAAGAGGATCTACCATATAACTCTGGCCTTGATTCTACCCTTAGGTCACTTAGATACAAAATTAGAGCTCCAAGGACTCAGCTAATTTAAAACTAAGCTAAATTTTTTATTGTGGTTCAATTCCTTCACATCAAAAGTCAATTGTGTAGGCCAAACTATTTTACTTAGAGATATTGAAAAATTATAAAGTAGTAACATTGAGATTCCTCAGAGGATTCCAGTAATGATGCACTTCCCCAAAACTATCTGAAGCTCCTTAGTACGGGAAAAAAGGAAGGGACAGAGAATCTGACGGGCTCACTGAAGCCCCTTTTGGTTTTAATTTTAAAGCTCGTTGTGGGCTCCGAAAATTCGGCCCCGGCCTCCCCGCCGAGCGTTTCTTTTTTATTCGGCGAGGGAGTTTTAACGAACTAACTTCCGGGGTAAATTTTGGAAGGCAGATGAGTTTGTAGATAAGACACTACCCAGAGATTTCGCCCTCATTTTGCGAGGACTTTATGATCTGAGTTCTGGTTTCCTATAGGCGCAAGCCCTTATAGTTAATTACCCCTCCTGATCACGAGAGAGAACTTTCGATTAAGG